TATGGGTGTGCCTGAATCAGAGATATGGGAGAGTTGTTGGTTAGAATAAGGGTCCATCCTGCGCAACTGGCCGAATTTGAAGGACCGCCATTTTTATCACTTGTCAAATTCGGATTTGGAAAAATAAGTTATGAACAGCTCATAACTCCAAAAATGAGCAGAAATAACGAAAAGAAATCTTTTAAAACACCACTCTGATAAAAATATCTCAGAAAAAGCAGGAAAAATCGCCAACAACAATCTGTAACCCAAGAATCGTAAACTCTACAGGATTGCTCAATCGGCTAAATTTGTTCACAATTGCTGTGACGTCACGTGCATGCCTGATTTTCAAGATGGCCGCTGACACGAATGATGTTCAGTTTGTGCTAACAATTATTTTATCGTAAATTCGGATTTATCTAGTGTTTTGCTAGTGTTATAAGTGTAAATTTAAGTTTCATTTAGCATTTTCTGGTTTTAGTGGTTTTATAATACTGGATTTGTTGTATCAGGACATCGCTCTTTTATTTGTGTATATTGCTAGTTAGTATATCCTAGTCAAGCATTTGTATTGCTTTTTTTTTTGTAAATCAAATATCTACTTAGTTGTAAGTTTCCTTTGCATGTAATTACTAATAAAAATTAGTGTTTGTGAAGAGTGAATAAATAAATATGTAAATAAATTCCTTTACTGGCGCGTTTACTATGAAAACGCATGGAAAATATGGGAAACTTACAGTTTTTTCTGGAATATGATTATGAGAATCTAAATTAGGTATCACTATTTGGCTTTGTGAAATAAGCTTACTTTGAATGTCCATATTAAATCGTTCTAGTACCTATTAAACTAATGAATAATAATTGAGAAGTACCTAGGTAGGGTAGGAGCGTTTCGCTTATATTTTGATATTGAATTGCAAAAATTAAACCGGCTCGCTCAAGTTGGCACCCCACATTTGGTTTTCTACTGTTTCTCAACTGTAGTCAATTGTGCCCGTTTTGTGCTCAATTGTGCCAGTATTTATGCGAATTGTGCTCATTTTCATACACAAAAAAAACATTGAAACGAATCCGGGGGCTAGCTTGACTCCAGCCTTTCGTTTTTTTGACTTTTTGGCAATATGTTTGGCTAATTGATAAACAAAAGCAAACAAACTCGTCTTTCTAATTAGCCAACCACTCAAGCCTCAAGGACACAAGCTTTTGAAGTCTGCTAATTTCAAAATTAATAAATTAATTACAAAATACAGTTTTCAAAGGAAATAACCTCAAAATAACAATTTTTCACGTTTGAAAATGCAAGGATAGTGCACTGTCATAAAAAACACAAACCGATCAAGGACTGCGTGACGTCATTCGCATACCGCCATCTTCGATGTTTTTATGAACGTTTGTCTTATGGGATTGAGCAATCCTCGGCCGAGATTCTAAAATCACGATTCGACACACGACTCGACAACGATACCGGCCTTGTCGTCTCGAAAGGTATAATTCCAATGAGATTTCTAACCTAGAATCGTCGGAAAAATCGTCTCGATGTCGAGTCGTATGTCGAATCGTGATTTTAGAATCCCCGGCCTGTAAAGTTTACGATTCTTGTCTGTAACCCAATGAACTAGAGCTAAAAACTGGAATGCGCACACAGTGCCATATCTTCCAAAAAAATGAAGCCATGAAAGACAGATGCCACAACGGGGAATGTTGTTTTTTTCTGTTGCTCGCTGACATATGACGTTTTCGAAAGTTTTGTCATATTTCCCTTCACAGGTTTCATCAATTGGAATACGTGTTGGAAGCAATTTTCGCCATTTAACATAATGAGTGCGACAAAAACAGTTATCCCCTCCGCAGCAGCCGCACTAGGCTTCAAGTTCGTCCTTATGTATGAGAATTCCAGTTTTTGGTTATAATTCATTGCTGTAACCGACCAAAAGTAAGGTTATGTTGTGAAAAATTTGTCAGATTGAAGTTGTCAACGTAAAAACTAATAGCGTTTTCGATTGGTAAATTTAATGCACATTGAGTGTATTTTTATCCTTTTTCATCAACCTGTAGAAGAAAAAGACAGAAATAAAAAAAACTGCCTAGATCTACCAATCGAAAACGAGATAAGTAAAAACTGTGAAAAGTGATAAAAATGGCGGCCCCCTATGCGTTACCAATAAATCGGATGCGCAGTCGTCTAAGCGCATTCTATTTCCCTCACATATCTCTGGCCTGAATTGACAATTGGCCATTGGGCCCCATAGCACCGTCTAGCATTTTTGAACAGCTAGGGCGTCGCACCGGTGTCACACTCACACTGAGTGTGTCATTCCTGAACTCGCCCCTGCTGTCAATAGTTGTATCCTTTCACACCTAGGAGGAGCTCCGGAACGGCTCCGGGGCTTCACGCGCTTATTCCTTTCGAAAAGTGTTTGTTGCACCACGCATCTGTTCTCTGCAAATCGGGGGCGACTAAACCCCGGAACGAGTAGCTCGAGTGTTTCATGCTCTTGAAAGGAATACAACTATTACCGATTACCGCCTCCTACGTTAAAGGATATTACACACTACACAGGATAGCTTATCCTCACGGCTCTGCTCTCAAGCTCCCCACTATGCCAAAGTACCAGTGATGACGTATCCAGCGTGTCGTTTCTGGCCTTGATGTAGGTGTTTGCCTTGGGTGTTTGCACTACAGGCTATCATTCCTCTGGCTTTTGCTTTATGCATACATGAATTTAGTACATTATTTAACATTCTAAAGCAGACCTTTTTTAGATCTGATTTGCATCTTCCCCTTTGCTTATTATTTTAATCAAAATGAAATATTATTTTTAATATTTTTGATCATACATTTGTATTTCAAACTACGCCGCTGGCGCAAGCAGCTGTTTGCGCAAGCGTTGAAGACGTCGGCAACGGTGCTACACATGACCTTAATTTCAAAAATCGTGGCCGAAAAGAAATCCTGTACTAGTGTGTTGCCCTTAAGTGCTATCATATTCTATGAAATAAGAATCCAAATTGTGGCTATGAAGAAAAAATAATGTTGCTTCTAGTATTATGAAAACATAAAATATCGATGATTTTAAAAATTATCAAAAAATTCCTCTAGGCTCTAAGGTACAAATGTGTCCTAATAATATCAAATCAATAGTTTTAATCGGCGATATTCAGATCTCAACAATTATTTTGTAAACAAATAATTATTAATAAAATTCAAAGCAGATTCCAAATCAGAGCGGAAAATTCTCGAAAACCTAATATAATTGACTCTCTATTTTTTATAATAACGAAATCGCTGCTGCCAAAGTTTATAAGTTTTTATGTTAATAATTGTTGTATTCCTTTCACACCTAGGAGGAGCTCCGGAACAGCTCCGGGGCGTTACGCGCTTATTCCTTTCGAAAAGTGTTCGTTGCACCTGAGTGCTGAAGCCCGACTCAAACCATTTAAATGCATAAAAGCCAGCGCATCTGTTCCTTCCAAACCGGGGTCGACTAACACCGGAGCGAGTAGCTCTAGTGTTTGAAGCTCTTGAAAGGAATACAACTAATGGCTCTGTTCGCCGTTTCGGTTTGAAGAAAAGACGGTTCTAGAACGGTTTAAAACAATTGTATATTTTATTTGATTGATAAACTGTGCGATTGTTCTGAACCGTTCTAGAACCGTCCTCTTTTCAAATCCGAACAGCGCAATTAGTTGTATTTCCTACCACTAGAGCTACTCGCTCCGGTGTTAGTCTTACCCGATTTGAAAAGAACAGATGCGCTGGTTTTCGTGCATTTAAAGGGGTATTACACGGCGTGTAGAGCGGCGCGCCTGGCGCGTGAACTGGCACTCCACGCGCCGTGTGAAGGGTCTGACGCGGCAAATTTCGCGCCAGATCGTCTGTTCCCTTCGATGAGCAGTAAATTGACACACTTGAAAGGAAACGCGCCGCGCGTGTGTGGAGCGGCTTCGGTTAAACAGTCACACGGCTCGTGGAGCGAACGGGAGCGGGAAGTTCACCAATAACAAATATTTTTTAGTAATTCTTGATATTATTGAAACGAAAATGTTGTGGGAGAAGGCCTCATTACGCAATGCGCGAACTTTCATCGATGGCGCAAACTTGTCAATTCAAAGGCCGTTTGACTGCGACCCCACTCCACGCGCTTGGCTTGCCAGGGGCGAGTTCAGGAATGACACACTCAGTGTGAGTGTGACACCGGTGCGACGCACTATCCGTTCATAAATGCTATAGGCACACCGAGTGCGCGCACTCTGTGCCGTTCAGAAAGTACTTTGGGCGCGCTCCAGGTGTCGCACCGGTCACACCATAATTTTTTGGTGTGGCTGCGGTGTGATTGTGTCTTTATGTCAACAATGTCAACCATTCCTTCCATAATCTCAATAATCTCACCAAATATAAACAAAACACAAATAAGAATTCATGTTTTTCCTTCAAATTAAAAAAATGAACAACAAAAAAAGTAATCCTAATAGATTTGGTGAAATTTTTGAGGAGATGCTCGATTGGTCACACCAAGCGTTCAGAAATTCATACGAAAGTTGTTGCCTAAGAATTGCCATTTTAGTCACACCCATAAAATCGCACTCACACCCGGTGTGTTATTTCTGAACTCGCCCCAGTTCACACTAGTTGTATTCCTTTCAAGAGTTTGACTCTCGAGCTACTCGCTCCGGTGTTCAGTCGCCCCCGATGTGCAGTGAACAGATGCGTGGTGCAACAAACACTTTTCGAAAGGAATAAGCGCGTGAAGCCCCGGAGCGGTTCCGGAGTTCCTCCTAGGTGTGAAAGCAATACAACTAATGAGTAATCACTTAACGAACTCAGTAAAATATATAGAACAATTAAAATGTTCAATTTTTAAATTAAATTATTTTAATAATTTATGAAATATTCTTTGAACATAATACAAAAAGAACATAAAGTGATATTCATTTTATGGCTAGTTACTTCAAATAACGGTGGAACATCTAGGGTGATTTCACTTTGAAAGAGCGGTGCGCTACGAGACCGGTTTCTAGAACTAGGCCATCCTTTCCTTTCGAAAGTCTTGCCTACAACAGAAGACATGTCAAAAATCTTAACCTCACTAACCATCGTTGGTTAATTCTTTCTTTGATAAATAAGAAAAATGGGCAGTATTGCTAAAATAATACCCCAATTTAAAAGGTAGAGATTCGTTGAGTAATGCCAACCATTTATATTATTTATTTTCACACACAGGTTATGTATTGCTGCAACAGTCCGAAACATTGGCACACAGGGTCCTCAATTTTTCAGGGCTACACCTTGCCTCATGTGAGTAAATTATGATTATCAATCACTAATACAATATGCCAAGAATTACTTTAGGGCTGAACCTTTAAAGAAAAAAAAGAAACTGGATCCAGCAATTATTCGAGCCAGAGAAGAGAGGAAAAAGAAGAAAATTGAAAAGCAAATTCGAAGATTAGAGAAGAATGCAAGACAATTAAAACCTATTGACGAATGTGAAGTTGCTCTAGAACTGTTGGATCAAAAATTGTAAGATAAAAATTTATTATTTTCATTTTGTAATAATTTATTTTCTAGAGAAAGACAAAGAGGAATAACGCATTCGCCGGAAATATTAGAAAGCAGAGCGCTACTAGAAAAAAAATGGGCCAATTTTAAGCGAAAGCAACTCCTAGATGACTTACAAATGATTGACAGGATTAGTTTCCATCAACAAAAAGCTTTAGATGAGCTTAAAAATGAGTCCGAGGAGTTGTACCAAGAAGCTATACAGCCTGGTCACATTTTGCCATTCATAAGCATTGGCCCTGTGGAGACGCCTGCAATAGACAATTATGATGTTCCTGATGGAGAATATCAAGATGTTAGTAAAAAGTGGGTTTAAAGATTTGAGGACTGAGAAAAAAAGCATCATCTGCTTGCAAATTTATCACCCAGAGATTTACCAATATTTCAAATAGGATACAGGGTAACCTATTTACAAAAAAACAAAAAATCCTAAGTCATAATTAAGTAATGATAAGCAATAGGGCGGTTTGACGTTCTATTTATTCAATATGGTGCCCTAGACATGACAAACTTGACAACCATAAAGGTATGTTTACAATGGCTGTTTTCGATTAGCTTTGGTTTGTCTTCAAGGCCAACCAAATTATTAGAACCAACTGTTTTCGATTGCAAACCGGTGACGCGACAGACATTGCTTGGCCCGTCCAAATTCGAACCAGCATCACGATTTGGTTTGAATTTCGGTTTGCTTTTATAACCTTAAAACATGGCGTTTTTCTTGACAAACCAAATTCAAAAGCTGTCAACCAACTTCTGTCATATCCGAACCAGGTTCAGAATCGAAAAGGGCCATTCAAATCCTCTCTTCAAATTGCAATCAATTGGAATTGAATGTAAAGAGACCTTCATGATCGTCAAGTTTTGTTATGCCCACGGCGCCATTTGAACAAACAGAACATCAATCGTCCTATAAGTTGTATTCCTTTCAAGAGTACACTAGACCTACTCTCTCCGCTCCGGTGTTAGTCGACCCCGATTTGAAAGGAACAAATGGGCTGGCTTTCGTGCATTAAATGGTTTGAGTTTGGGCTTGAGGCGCTTGAGCACTTCAGGTGCAACAAACACTTTTCGAAAGGAATAAGCGCATAACGCCCCAAAGCTCCTCCTACGTGTGAAAGGAATACAACTATAGTTCCTTAGGATAAATCAATTAAGTTGGTATTATTTTTCAAAATCTGCAGGTGATTTATTATGAGTAAATGAGGCTTGGAATACTGGTTTATACAAACCTTTATTTGTTCTTACATGATTCACAAAAAAAGAAAAATGTTTTCCCTGACCTTGTATCGTATTGGTGAACATCCTTACAAAATAGAATGCTTATATTATTGAGTTTTTTGTTTTATTCATTCTTTTATGCATGAGTTTACATTGCTCTAGGTCTATAATACCTAATATTAGATAGATAGGAAGAAAATATGCATTCTAAACATCAAACTTACTCTGTCCTGAAAGATACTTTCTGGCCCTGTACAAGTTTGCAATCAATGATATTAACTCAAGTATCTGAGAGATGATGCCCAATGCTGACGCCAGTTGAGATTTTCATCCAACATCGGTCCTAAGTATTTCATAACTTCTTACCTGCACCACAGAATTTTTAGTTTATTGCATGATGACCACTTATTGTACAGAGCTAGGTTGATGGTTATGAAAAAGTGTTCCACATACACATTAAAACCACTATAAATCAATGCTGTGTCATCAGCAAATTATAGTAACGAATCACAATACCTGGACACTTCCAACCTAATAAATATAAGGAGTATAACAGTGACCCCAGCACAGAGCCCTGTGATACCTACTCCATGGTGGTTTGACCTAAATTCTCCCTTAAATCTACCCATTTGGACATACTGGATAAGACAGCTCTGTATAAATCCATATGTACATTATTTCTTGTTTACTCAAATTGCTTGGTTTTTTTAGTGAAATATGATGGAAACATCGAAAGCTTTTCTTAGGTCTAAAAATATCTATTAGGTACAATTTTTTTTTCCAGATCAATGTTTATGCCTGCTATTAACAATGGCCACAGTTGAGGTGACTGAAGTTGGCTTCATATCAATCTATTCAGTTTCATTTATTTTTTTTTTATACAGAAGGTGGGTTTATTTTGTCCTAGCTAGTAGCTCAACTACCACTTAAAAAAAATAGCTAAGCTACTGGTAACTTAACTACCTATTCAACTAGTGAAAGCTACTATTTAAGCTACTTTTTTAACAGTTTAACTAATAAGAACAAAAAAACGTGCACAATCGCCACCATCAATGTAACTTACCTAATTTCATTTCATTACATCATCATACGAAAATAAAATTTTAATTTTCTCTAGGATCAGCAGTTTTCATATTTTTGACAAAAATCACTAGACATTTATTAAGTTCACTTTGATCACAGTGATCTGCAAATGCGAGAATAAAACAGGATACATAGGACATAGGTACAGAGCAGGGACGTAGCAACAGGGCGTGCAAGTGGTGCCGCGCATAAGGGCCCGGGCCTCGAAGGGGCCCGGCGTGTCCTGCAGTTTTTGGACACAACATACAAGGAAATTAAAAAAATCAGATTGCACCCGCCCAAGCAATCATTCTTGGCTTTGGAGATTTGTAATCAAACAAAACTGTAATATCGATCTCTACAGATTTTCAGCCAGCCGTCCGAGTCCCAGTACTCGTGTCAATATTGTCAATTCATTCTCAATCGTGGAAATCCATGAGTGAATCCGAATCCCTTGATTCCCTTTTTGGATGTGGGAATTGTAGGACTTTCCATGAAAACAGTAAATCTATTACGTCAGGAGTCCGGAAAGTACAGTTTTTTTGGTCGAGTAGACAAAATTCCAGAATCCAAGGCGAGGCGTAGTCTGGATGTTTGTCGCCTACGAATTTGCCCATGCGCTATTATGCATATAACCCCCCCCCCCCCCTTACCCACCCAATGAATTTGTTATTTTAATTCAATTACCGACAGCTCTGACTATATGCAAAATAAGCTTACGCCAAATAAAAACAAGAGTCAATTGTCTTTTGGTCCAAATCATTAGGGACCTTCCGATGTTCATATGGTGTAGCCGGTGGAGAGGGCCCGCTGTAGTTCTTGTACCAGGGCCCGGATTTGACTTGCTACGTCCCTGGTACAGAAATAAGTTGAAACTAGTCTAAACAAGGCAGGCTAAGATTTTTCCGAAAAAATGATAATTGTAGCTTGAGCTTAAGTAGCTTGTTTTAGTAGCTAGCTACTTTTCACAGTAGCTTATGAATACATAGGATACATTACCAAAAGCTACAGCTACAAGCTACTTTTTTTTAAAAGTAGCTTGAATAAGTTTTTAGCTACCAAAAAAGTAGCTAAGCTAGTAGCTTAACTACTTGGTAGCTAGCTACTGCCCAGCTCTGCTCGAGACTAAGTTTCTGATTCACAATGGAGACTGCCGAATTGTTCATTGGGTCTCGCTATGTAGACGACATTTTGTGTTTCATTAGAGGATCCGCAGCAGATGCTTTGGACATTTTAAACAAACCAAACAGTTTGCACACTAACATTAGATTCACAAACGAATTAGAATCCTATGGATGTATCAATTTCCTTGACCTAAAAGTCAAGAAGTTGGCAAACCAGTTGGAACTTCAGATCTACAGGAAGGACACACAAACGGATGAAGTTATTCCTGAGTGTTTCAATCACCCTCATTCCCAGAAGGTGGCAGCTTTCTACAGTTACATTCACAGAGCCTTATCAATTCCCTTATCAGAAAAACCTTGAACTGGAGTTCGATACACTGAGACAGATTAGGGTTGCCAAGTTTTTGAAATGGAAAAGCGGGAGGTTTGAATTTTTGGGTGCCGTATGTCCAAATTTTCACGAAACAGTCGTTAAAAACAGCCAGTCATGGTCAGCCTCAGATCTGTCAATGATAGGTTGTTTGGACTTATTTCAGAATCAGTTCCGAATTGCGCAGTTGTTATCGATATTACCAAATAAGCAAGTGCAGTTCAATCAGAACTGATTCTGAACTAAGTCCGAACAAACCTAACAAACAATATATTCATACCACCTAAATAGTGAATGAGAAAAAACTAGTATTCAAGTATAGGTAGGTATTTATTATCATAAATAATATGCAATATGTAATATATACTTGCATGCGTGATCGATGGTAGATAGTAGATGGTAGGTACGTGTTTTCAAAAATACTTATCAATTTTGTCAGTGGATGTGAAATAATATCTGTATAGGCGCTTTTTTATATCCAAACCCTATATAAAGATGCAGATGCCCGATAGCGAAAAAAAGATTTCTTTTGCTAAATATTGAATTCCTATAACTTCCTCTAGCCAAATGCGAAATTTTTGAAAAGCGGGAGTTAGCGGGAGTTTTTTCAGAAAGCGGGAGTTTTTGCCGCGATGTTTCACGGCGAGAGGCATGACAAAAAAGCGGGAGTCTCCCGCCTAAATCGGGAGGGTTGGCAACCCTGAGACAGATAGCAACTAACAACGGTTATAGCCCAACCTTGATTGACAAACTAAGAAGAAAGAGAATTTAAAAAACTAAAAAAAGAACCTTTTCCTAATCAAATTATAACTAAACCACATAAATTCGCCTCCATTCCTTATATGGGCATTTTTTCTGATAGGTCATGCTAAGGTCATCAATTCAGGTAACAACACTGGCCAGGTCTCTTTTAGGTCCACAAACTCTTTGGGCGCTAGGCTATTGAATGGCAAAGACAAGGTTGACCTTCTGAAGAAGAGTGTGGAGTCTATAAGCTTACTTGCGCTACTTGTCAGGCATCTCAAGATGGTATGACTTGTAGACCTCTGGAAGTGAGAGTAAAATGAACATCTAAATAGACCTTCATCCTCCTCTTTCGGTTTTCATTTAAAGTATAATAATCATAGTTTTTCTCCCGGTAATTCTGAGATTATTCATAACATCTCTTCCAGGGGCCTGGGACTCAACCTATATGAGGATCTGGAAACTTCCAGAATTCTATAAAATGTCGTAGCCATCTCAATACGCATCAGGTTAGTTCCAATTATGGGTTCCAACCTATTTTTAAGCATTTCAATTCCAGACAACCCCATTCTAGCACGGCCAATTAATGTTGAAAAGCTCCAAAAAAACTGTAAGAGCTTAGCGTTTTTACATTTAAATAATAATATCAATTTCAAATAGATGCAAGATGCAACTAAACAAGGAACGGATCACATCATAAATTTGTAGTTTTGCTTAATAAGAATTGGAGTGTTTGTAATTTTTTAATTGTTGTTGAGTGAATTTTAACGTGTTTCAATGTTCTTTTTCATACCAATGTTCCTCCTTGTAATGTATTTTTCTGTGTATTTTTGACAAGTAAGTGTTACTTTATTTTATTTTATTAGACTAAGATCCCTCTTTTCTGTATCACATACAGTGTCAGTCCTGATTATGACTTAGTATGGTCGAAAGCGCTTGACGTGAATAAATATTTTATATACCTTATACCATACCACCTTTCATTTCTCTATCTACTAGGGTATACTAGCCAACTTGTACGTAAAAATTAATATTTTTGTCAATGTCAAAACACTTGTCAACATAGTTTTAAATCTGCTAAGGTGAAATAATAGGTACTTTTTGTAAAGAAGTGCTTCTAGGTCCGACACGATAAGAGATACCTAGGTATAGGAACATTATACATGACTAGAAAGCGGATTTTAGCAGTATTCTAATACCATAAAAATAGACTATGCGTGCCATTTGCAATAAGCTACTTTTCGATACTTTTATAATTAGTTTATTAAACATTCATTTTACGCCCTCCTGTATTACATTTTGCTGGTTGCGCAAAAGAATAATAATCCTCGAAGCTTTGTTTTAGCTACGACCAAAATTTCAACTTTTATTTATTCACACGAGCAAAAAATCGAGATTTATTTTAAGTTATTTTTTAGCTCCAAATTTTGGAAATTATTTTTTTTCTCAATAACGGCTGGAGATACATAGGTATAGGAAGTTATTAGGGAAAGTTATTTGAAATTGAAATAGGGGGGCGAAAATTTAATATTATATACAATGATATTATATAGGACAATCCATTTGAAAATCCAAAGCCAAAGCTTTTGCAAAGTTTATTAAGATGTGACAACACTGCACCTTTCAAAATATTTTAAAACGATAGAGCATGTTTGGTTATAGCGCCTCGGTTATAGCTGCAACCAAAACTTCAAACTGATCTGACTTCAGTGACTTCTGGTTCTCCAGAAACGTCCAATAGGCCATCGACTGTGAATCACCCTGTATTAAACAAAGTCCGGTTGGTTACAGAACTTATAACTCGAGAATGGCTG